GGGTTTTACCTAAGAGGCGGATATGATCGTAATCGGAAAAAGAGTTATTGTAGAACATTGTTTTTGATTGAGAGCAAATGGAATTTTGGATAGATTTGAAGTTGGCTGATTTTAAAAGGGCCGAGTTTCTAACGATAGAGGGCATACCGGTTATCGTGCGTATGCCGATGTTTTGGACGGATTCAATACGTCTCCAATGGGAGGGGCCGGGGCCGATAAAGGGTGCCTGGGTGTCGATCAGTAAAATGCACCCGTATATATACCAGTTTTTGCTGTTGTGGCTGTTTTCATTGGCGGAGARTTYTGTTATGACGAGTGAAYATGACATCGATCCTATGATCTATTCTGCTCCGTTGATGTCATTTTCGCTCGTCATAATCGTTGAGCATACTTGTGAAGAATCACCTAGTTCTTATCCGTATGTACGGTTGCTCGTATGATTCTGTCTTGATATGTGCATTAAATTGGTGGCCGTGAGAACGGCAGTTTTATGTGTTGTTGTTTGTGCCGTATCAATATGTATAAAAAAAAACTCCCCGTAAAAAGTTTGTATACTCCAATATTAGGTTTATATATATATATATATTATATATAAATCACCAATGAAGTAAATTTAGCTTATAATATAATATGTATATAATAGATAATAAATTAAAATCCACTTCGTAGACAACATGGTCATATCGCGTATACATTCTCATGACGAATCAAATTATGTATTTGTGATGTAAATGTAGCAGATGATAATAATAATATATATTACATTGTTCATGCGATTCCTTTTGAAAATATTTTCCACCTAAATATCGATGCATAACAAAATGTCACGTTCGTTAGAGATCTATTTGAATTTGAAGCGCTGCAAGCTCTGTTTAAATACGATAATTAAACCAGAAACTTGCAACGTGAAACATACGTACGATGGCGCTTTTAACTTAGACTCCGCCTATACCCTTCTCATTACAGAACACTGGTAGTTCAATGTTCTTGACACCCCTTGTCAAATTTCCGTTCAATAAGTTCTTCGAAAATCATAATAACACAGTCAGTGGTAGTCAATGAAATATGATTAAATTTCATTCCCACAATTGTGTAAGAGGACAATGTTATAGCATGGATTTCAGAATAAGTTTATTATATCAAACAAAATAATAAAAATACGATGTCAATATTTATTTTTTTGGGAAAATTATGAGCAATATATTATGTAAATACTTATATAGTATTATTATATAAAATAATATTTGAAGCCCATTATATATTTTTTTTAATATCATGATCCCAGACATCTTAGGTTTAAACATTTTCAATTTTTAATACAATTATTGATGAATTTATACACGTAATACATAAGTACATGTACGGTGCTATTTATAATTTTTTTTTTTTTTATTGTTCTTATAAACATCGGCGACAAAGGCCATTAGTTACAGTTATTTATAATTGTATTAGAAACAAACATTACATTCAATATATTTATATAATTTTATACATAATAGTATTTATAATAAGATGAACAATAACACCATAAAATCATACCTGTATAATGGTACGCCAGAGTCATCTTTGAACCAGAATACCATGTATACTTTGTCTGCTGGATTTGGCGAGGACACGTCACAAGGAAATTTAACAGTTCTACCTTCCACAGCATCTACAGGAACAAGTGGCACAGTAACTGAAACAYGAAATAAAAAAATTAACAATCGAAAAGCTTCAACTTTTATTTTAAATTGGTATATTTTTTTAATAATAAAAAAAATAATAACAGCAAAGTACTCAGATGACTACAATATAAGTTATAATAGTACCTAACTAGTTGTATGTTTAGTAATATAGTATAGTGTAAGTTCATATTAATGTACTTATATTTAAAATAATAACAAGCATTACGAAACCCCAAAAGTGTTGCAATGAAAATTTTAAAATTTTGCCTACACTGAATCTTCTCTTGATATATTAATATTCAGATTCAAAATCGTCGTCATTTTTTAACACTTTGTTCGTAACAAAAGTTTAGTGGAGTTAAAAAAAAATCATGTGCCCTTTAATGAGAATATCACATGAGGGACAGAAAACTTTTTTAATATTGTCATTTTGGACGTTGGAATAAACGTTGCCACAATATACAAAGGGGAGGGGGTTGGTCATTAATAATTTTTTACTGAAGAGTTTTTATTGTAAAAGGTCATCATTTTCTAATAACCAATTTTATCATCGTTTAAATAAATCCAGTCAAATAAAAACATAGTATTCCAATTTGGTGACGGCTAAAATTTAACTGTGACAAATATAATACGTGATCTTCCAATAATAATGCATAATAGGTATTTAAAAAAAATACGTTTCAATAATTCATTAAACGTTTGGTCGTTAAGGTTAGTAATTTAATAGAATTTGTAATTATTTTCAAAAACCAATTGTACCAACTAGTTATGAATTATTACAACGATAAAGACTATAGGTACAATGAAAATGTCAAGACCTTAGAGTATATTATGTTTTAAATCTGTTAATTGGTTTTCAAATTTAAACATATAATTCTGTTGTACAAGTTGATTAAACAATCACCAGCTTCAATTTATTTTCAGTATCATTTAATTTACATTGCGAACGCGTTTAACGCTACAGACGTTTACGCTTTTCATTAGTTTAAGTAAATTGATTATAACTTTTAAATGATCCACAGAATAAAAAAGGAAGGAAACTACAATACACGTATATACGTGATGATGATATTAAAACGATAGTAGGTATTAAAAACTTTAGCTACAGTTATATAATTGCATTTTTAGAAGTTTATATCAAGATCACCAAGTATATGGAAGTAATTTATTACATAACACACGAATCAATTGCGTTTCAAAATAATTATGACCAATTTATTTAAGTAGAATTCACTAGTGTGTACGTAAAAAGTTTTTGGATTTTGTAGACCACTTCCAAAATGATAAACATTTTTCTTTTATTTAAACAATCGTACGCAGTTTAATATTAGTAATAATAATAATAATAATAATAATAATAATAACAGAACGTTGGAAAAACATGGAACATTTTACAGAAAAGAAGAAGTATTATTAACACGTCTAAGAATTGGACAAACTCGCTTCACACACGGTTACCTAATGATCAAAGAAGAACAACCCAGGTGCACAACATTCGGAGTTAACTTGACTATCAAACATAATATACTCGTCGAATACAGACAAACAGAAGATGCAAGAACCAAACACAACATCACAGAATTTCTATACCAATCATTAGGTCCAAACGTATCAGCCATCAAACAAACACTAAACTTCATAAAAGAAACTGAAATCGAAAATTTATTGTGAACAAATAATATAAAATAATATGTAAAAACAAAACTACCTATGTAAAAATTATGTAAAAACAATTTAAACAATCCGCTGCCGAGGCTTATTTCTAAAAAAAAAATAATAATATGTAAAAACAGCAATTAATAATTTAATAGATACTTGAATAAAGTATAAATTTCACATTTTAGTTGATTTTGCAATTGTATTCAGATAGATTCAATGGATTGATATTATATTTATAATAAAAATTTCAGGACAATTAATTCACTCATATAACTTTTTCGTTATTTAAGTAAATATTAAAATAAATTTAGTCAACAGACATTTTTGAAGCTAGAAATTTAAATAACTTTTTTCTTCTATTAGTTTAGTAAGTAGTCTTTGTTGTCTGCTATTATAATTCTTGAGATAAATAACCGATAATTTGGGCCTTGATTACATTTTTTTATCATATATATAAATATATATATATTATTATTTTGTTCTCGTTACTCGTTAGTGGAGTATCATTACAAAATCTCTTTGAAGCTAAAGTTTCGTGGAATCATAATTAGAGTACCAACTTTCAACAAAAATATGCGTGGCGTATTATACTGTCATTGAAGTGGGACTATTTGTATACTCTTCTAGAAATATTTTTAGCTAATCATTCAGAAAAAAATCTTAAAGAACAATTAAATAACTACACAGTATTACATTAGTATGATATTGAGGTTTATTAATGATTTGTAATATGTAGGTCAAAATTACATCGAGACCATAATACTCATGAGCTATGAGTATTTCTCTCTTAGAGTACTATAATTCATATTAATAATATTATGCTATCCAATTTTCGTTTTGACATGACAGCAAATATTTATCGTGTAAATAAAAATAATATTATGAGTGTTCACTGATCATTTTGTTATGAATGGACTGTAAAAACTAATTCTTGATATTAAAATAATTTTTGACAAAAGTTTTTTCTTATTTTTTTTTATGAAAATAGTGACATAAATAACAAAGAACATCTTTAAAACTTTTTCAATTTCCCTGTTAAACTCTGGAACATTTGGTTTATGCTTCAGAAACTGTCAATTTTGTATAGAAAACATCAACCGGAAACAACTTGCTATTGAGACTATTAAAATAGAGTTTTAGTATTCTGCATATTTGCTATATTTAATTTGTTTTTTTAGTTTATCGCTTTATTTCTTACAGATAAAATAATACAAAATATTGTAATGGTATACGTTATAATATACGTAAGTACATATTTATACAAAATTAACACTTATGGATACAAATATTTTTATACACATAACAAATAATTATTTTCAGTAACAATAAATTTCAAATTGAAATTTTTTTTTTATTATTCATAACAGCTATTTACAACTATTTAAGGTAGTAAAAATTAACGTTAATTTTAAAATATTAAAATATGATTATTACTTAAAGTACCTATATATTTTATTATAGATCAATGATTGGTATTTTAATTTTAACTGAGTACTAAGGAAACTAAATAAAAAATCTTACAGTTTGGTGTTTCTCCACTCTTTCTCACCAAAAATTGTAGGTAATCAAATTTYAAAAAACAGTATAAAAGCACAATTCCTAGAAATATTTAGATGTTCATAATAAGTCTATGGTATCTGTAAAAATAACATTTCATTATTTTTTACAAAATATTAAAATAATACATTTCATGAATTTTAGTATCATATTCTACGTAGTATACATTTATATTTTTATAGATCTTGCTTAATAATTTAATCAGCTTTAGCTAGTCCAATAGAATAAAATGTTTTAAACTATTTATCTACAGTAAAATAAATGATAAAATGTATCGATTAAATATTATTTACTTGAATGAAATACCAAACAATGTACATAACCAAACAGTTCATAAAAAATATTTTTTGATTTGCGTGTTTAGCTTTTTACAACTAATATATTATTGTATCATGTATAAATAAATATTGGACCTCATACTTTTATACCTATAGTTGCATATTGGATATCTTAATGCCAGATAATATCTCTGAAAACCATCACTGTGTTCTAGATAAATACTAAATGCCATAATGTCTATAATCTTTAACTACTTGTTTAAAATAAAAGTTTTAAAAATCAACGGTTTTAATTATTAATATATTATGTATTATAATATTGTAAAAGTGGTTGAACAAAAAGTAGATATAATGCTAAAAAGATATACTTTTAGGTTGAGTACAAATTAAATAATAATAATAATAAATCATTATGGTAAAAATGTATAATATATAATGAAAAGGTATAGAACGAACAAAAATACCTTTTTTTACATTCTTTTACATTTTTCTCGTGTAATAGAGAAATAATACAACCAAACTGGTGTTTTTCTGCTGACGGAAAAGTCAGGAAGAAATATTAAAAACAATATTTTTATTTTACATAATATTATACACATATATTGACGTTGTCGTGGTGGTCTAAACGCGTAAATATTTACATACTCTACTCGTCGTTACGGGACCTTTTTGTATGCGGGACTCTTGTTTTTCCTGTTTCTCGCTATATCGCTATAATATTATACCGCTGATATTGCTGCATCAGGCGATTATTGTTGTTTCACGAGACGGACAGTTTTTTAAAGTAAATCAACTGTTAATTAATACAATTATTATTGATCGAAGAAAAATAACTATCGACTAGGCCGAAATGACTACAGAGTTAATATTGTAGGAAAAAATCACACTTCATTATAATAATAATTAATGTTGAACTCAGTCGTGACGAAGCATCAAAGTTACATGTTATTATTATAGATACTAGAGCAATATTGGTATTGCTAACTTAAGTTTTTCCCTAATTTAATTTGTCAGATATTGAATATTTTAACGAAGGAATACTATTATAATCGTCAATGTGTCCGTATTGTTGACAGCAGCGACCGTCCATAAACTATAATCTTAATGTCTAATTATTTTTATAGGTGTGTTAATGTGTAATTTTGAGTTTCATATAGTTAATTATTTTTTTAATTTACTAAAAACAAAAAGTAGTATATTTTTATGCTATGATCTCTGGTTTTGGAGTCTTTAAGACTTTATCTACATAGGGTTTAAAAAATAGTTGATTATCAAAAAGCTATTGTCGTTTTTCTACCATTAAATTCATATTATTAAAACTTTAAAAAAATACTTTTTTCATTCAAGTATTACCTATTCGAAACATATTTCAATAATAATCCATAACAAGGGTTTAAATAGGCGCCTGTTAAACGAAAAACAAATTGCGACAATTCGAATGCAACTATTACCGTATAAAATAAGCGCCTGCCGCGAACCACGCTATAATATTGTGCACGCCACATGCGGTTGTAAGG